GATTTATTTATTTTTATATTATTGATTTTCTCCTCATCCAGAGGCTCTCCCTGAGGTTTTGTAGAAAAGAAAGACTAAGTATGTAGAAATTAAAAGGAACGTACATGTTTGTTATCCTCTCCAGCCTCTCTTTCAGATCCTCCTGGATATTAACAGACACAAAAAGAAAGGAGGTTAAAACATTAAACTCCCAAACTTAGCATTTTCAATGTGGACTATAGAAAGTTTCACCGCGGTTAAATAAAAAGCCTCAAGTGTTACACACGCAAAGATAACACGTTTCCTTTCTTAACAATTGGTTACATAAATCAGACACATTTATCTGTTAGTCCAATAGTCAAACACAGCGTTATGTGTTACAGAAAAAAAACACAAGCTCAAGTTTGTTTCATGATGAATCATGATAATAACATTTGTAAATCTGTTTGAAGAAGATGTAGCCGTTATCAGCAGCCACGTAACCTTCATAATTATTACATTTAGATGTGTTATAAAGCATACTCTTTGATATTAGCTATAGAAGGTGTTATTTAAAGACACCAATTTCTTTTCCTACTTTATTAATATGTCTTATTAAGAATGTTGACTGTATAACATGGTTTTGTTCACCTACAGGCTGGGATTAATTGAGGATGTTCCCAGGTGGTGTGATTTTCATCTCAACATGAATCTGATAGAAATGTTTGTCTAAATATATGACGTGAACCTACATCAACGTGGATCTGATAGAAATAATATCGAAATGAATGTATGGTGACGTATATATGTTTGGATTCTTATTCTTAATCTTATTGAGTAAACTCGGTTTAGTTTGAACAATTGTCCTCCGGTCAGAATGGGAGTCACCCGTGGGCGGCACCCCTCTTTGCCTGCAGACCCCCCTCCTCTCAGCCAGCAGATAAGAGTTCACACTGAGCTCAGATCTTTGGGTTCTTTTTAGTTTTGGTTTCTTGAAGTTTAGAGCTTCAGCGCTTGCTCGCTTCTCTTCGGACTTCGGTCCGAATCACTTCTTTTAAGTTTGTGCCGTAGAGACGAGTCTCTGCCGAACTTTCTTTTTCACGCACAATTTTTGGAACATCAATTCTTTCTGGCTCAAGCAAGGTTTTTGAACTTTCTTCTCCAAAGTCTTTGCTCTTCAATTTTGAAAGCCAATTCCTTAATTTGGATTCATCAAGATGGCCATCCGGTTAATCTGAATTGGAAATCGACGTATCAAAAGACTCTTTCATATTTTTCCTGTTGGATCCTCTTGGAGCTTCTGAGACGACAGCTGAACCGACGTACAATCTCCATCCCAGCTGCACACTCCGACCAAGGTGTCAAGGCATCTAATCTGGCCCGTGGACCTCTCTGGGCCTGAAAAGAACCGCTTGCCAGAGACTGAAGCATGGGACCAGCCGGCGGAGTTCAATTGAACACATCTCACAGAAGACTGCTGGTGGCAAGGGGTGTTGGAAGATTGAGTCTTGAGTCGTGTCTATTCAGAGCCCTCCTTTAAATCCAAATAGAATCCCAAAATACCTTTATCAACTTTTTCTTTTTGACCATTTTCTGATTAAGTCATTCAAACAATACCGCGTCTTATCTCATTACTAAATATATAATGTCACCATACATTATAATTGCATTATCCTGATCATAATAATCATATTCTTTATCTGTTTCATCTATACATTATTGTTTACCCCTTTTTATATTAAATTTTACACATAAAATTCAGGACTTTGTGTGTTTTCTGGTTTAACATTTCCAGAACTTACTTCTTTCAAGATATGAAACTGACTGATTAATTAATTAACTTATACCATTAAAGTTAATTTCTTCCTTTAACAGGAAGTGGTGCCCCTTCTTAAATCCGGGTTAAATAAAGATATAACAATCATAATCATTTAATTACGCTACAAAGAAGACAAAATCAGAAGCTTGAACAAATACTGAATGACATTTGATAATTTAGTAAGCATGACTAATCTGACATAGCAAACTTACTGCCAAATTTGCATGTTGTTGATCGGACAGGATGTCATGAAATGATTGGACAGTCGGAGAGCAGAGTGTTCAGCTCACCTTTGAGGCATCAGACATGTTGGAGAAGGCGGAGGACGAGGCGCACACGCGGGCGTGGGACACTGAGCTGAGAGAGACAGGACAGAAACAGAGATCAGTCTGAGAAATGGATCAGTGCTAGAATAAGCTTCACTACATTTGTAACATTTGACATTTCTACATATAATCTGAGTTTACAGCTGGGTATGTGTGATGAAGAAGCTCCTCCATGTTTCTCTGTTCCTCACTAACATGTACTTTTCATTAAACTGGGTTTGTCCCATTCAGGGCAGAAATGGCGTTTTGTTATTAGCTCGATGTGACGTCTCTTTCTAACAAACAGGAGGTGAGCTGAATGTACTGTGGGTGGTGCTGCAGTGGGCCAGAGGGGATTTAGAGTTTTCATTTTCACTTTTGATTTCTCCCTCTGAAAACCGAATACTAATGACAAATTCTCAAAAATAGAAACAAGAAGGTCAGGACATCTTTTCAGACAAACCTAGAGGGAATATTCTGGAGACTATTTAATCAGGGTAAAGGAAAGGGTTGACTTATAATTCTGCATTGACTCTACGTCGTAGTGGTCTATGCTGTCATGAACACTACATACTTGTGTGTTGGTGTGTCTGCATAGTTCTGCAATACTTCACCTACAAATGCCAGCTACCGGTTCCACCACATTGTCTGCTTGCAGGACACTGTGTATCGTCTCATGATGAACTTTGAATGCTCACACATCTCACACCCACACACATATTATTATTATTATTATTAGTGTGGATTATGCAACAAATAGATACTTTTATTAACGTATGGTGATGAAAATGTCAAACCCTGTAGGAGAGTGTTGGAATAATTTTCCAGGACAACATGTGATTTTCCAGGGCATTTGACTTTTTCTCTGATTTTCCAGTACTGGAAAATTAGTCAACTGTTTTCCAGGTTTTCCAGGACGGGTGGGAACCCTTCCCTTAGTTTTGTGTTTCATGCAGACACTTTCTTTGAGACAAACGGGGGGAAAGGTGTGTAATCACCTCCCTCTTCTCTGCTCAGAGTATAAATATCACCATCTTGGTGCATCTTGTGCTGGTTGGGTTAAAGAGGTTTTTGTATTGTCTTTTTTTCTGTTTGGATTCTTTTTGCTTTGTTCTTTTTATGCATTTGCTGTACATCAAAGCACTTTGTAAACGTGTGTTTTTTAGAGGTGCTATAGATATTAAGTTATTATTATTATTAGAAGAACATAGAGAAGGTTTTTCTTCTCTCTCCCCTCTTAGCTTGCAAGAGGAATGAACTTCCAAACCTTCCCAGGAAACAATGAGGCTCGTATTAGTCAATTATCTCTGAGGTGGAACTTCTTTTCAATTGCCACACCTTTACCAGAAACAAGAAAGGTTTCCTCATTCTTGGGAAATTATTTTAAGTGTAGGAATGTACACAGGGAGGGTTGTATTTGTTTGGGGTTGTTGGGTTTAAATATTAAGAACTCTACAGAATCACCCCGCCTCCGATTGTCAAACATTTGACCACTATTGTTTAACTGTAATCACAATAATTGCTGTGTGTCCAGAAAGCAGCATGTCTTGTTTTTAATGGTATGATTTGATTTGATTTGTTCATGTTAAGTAGCAGAATATGAATCATGGAGACTAATCAGGCATTTTATTAATCACCCTTCATGTTGTCGAAGCACAGAGTGTTTTAGTATTTAATCTGGAGAAAGTGTGTCGGAATTGTTTACATGTTTGTATCTGTGTGGCTCGTGTAGCCATCTCACCTTTAATGATTATATTTCTGTATGTTTGGTCTTTTTTCAAAGCAGGTTACCAACTATGGGTGTGTAAAAAAAGCTTACTTCGTTTATATATTTTCTAAATGCCCTGATTGTGTAGTTTAACTTCTGCAACAACTGAATGGTTTTTCTTCATCTGAGGTAGAAACTGTTGCTCTCGCTCAGATTTGAATCTTAAAAGTTTGTAATCAGAACATACCTGAACATGTTCCCATGATTAGGTTTGTATACAGTCAGTATAAGTAAAGAGATACATGAAGGTGAGGTACCTGTGTGTCTCTAAGTTCTGATTGAGTTTCCAGAAGAACGACTCTGCTCATCAGGTTCTCCCAGCTCTCTCTGGAGATGATCACCACGCCACCTTCACTCAATGTTTGCTCACTCATTTTATAGACTGAGAAATAGGACCGTGTGTAGGTACAAATGCCACTGAAGAGGTGTCCATGGAGCTGGGATTGACTTAAATCAGATTGCTCAACCTGTCGCAGATGATTGTCAAGTAATATCCTCTCAGTTTAAAAGCATCACAAAGACTTGTGCGCTGGATGGCCTAGTGGTTATGTCACACACCCTCGTCGCAGTGGCTGTTTGTTCAAATCCGTACCTTGGCCCATTGCTGCATGTCATCCCCCCACTCTCTTCTCCCAACATTTCCTGTCTCTCTTCAGCTGTCCTATCCAAGAAAGGCAAAAATGGGCCAATAAAAATATAACAAAAAGGAATGAAAGCATCACAAAGACTTTTAGAATGAAATGAAAAGCTCATTTAAATGATTACCTTTTATATATTTAAAAAGCCTATTTTGCTTTGCCTTCCCTCAAGTAGTGCAGATTCGGGTCCAGCCGCGTGTTATTCCCCGCTCTCTCTCTCCAACTACAACAAAGTGTTTCTGTAAATACGTCCTCTTTTATCGGATTTCATCCCATTCTCTAAAACATGAAGTCAGGGATCAGTCATCTTGAACATGTTACTGTTCAATATGTCAATCATTTTTCAGAAATGGAAGACGGAACAAATAGATTTTTCATTGAAAGAAAACAACCTGAACTAAATCATCCTGTTTACACGATGAAAGGAGAAACACATTTTAACAAGCTGCAGTTTAAAGAGTGAGGACTAAAACAATACAGCAAAAACAATATTTGTTCTTTCGAAGTTAGAATCACGTTTGTCCAGTTTATTACCAAGTTTATAATCATAAAACACCAAAAACAGGCGGATGGATACATTTACAATGGATACAATGATTATTTATATTAGATTATTTGCAGTCTGTTGTAGAGGATTCAGAGTTCTTCAGCAGGCTGGAGGTGCTCTTCATCCTACACACACACACACACACACACACACACACACACACACACACACACACACACACACACACACACCTTGTGTCAGAAACTATATGGACAACTTTATAAACCTGTTTTTTTGTGATATCATGATTTATTTATTTTTATATTATTGATTTTCTCCTCATCCAGAGGCTCTCCCTGAGGTTTTGTAGAAAAGAAAAGACTAAGTATGTAGAAATTAAAAGGAACGTACATGTTTGTTATCCTCTCCAGCCTCTCTTTCAGATCCTCCTGGATATTAACAGACAATAAAAGAAAGGAGGTTAAAACATTAAACTCCCAAACTTAGCATTTTCAATGTGGACTATAGAAAGTTTCACCGCGGTTAAATAAAAAGCCTCAAAGTGTTACACACGCAAAGATAACACGTTTCCTTTCTTAACAATTGGTTACATAAAGCAGACACATTTATCTGTTAGTCCAATAGTCAAACACAGCGTTATGTGTTACAGAAAAAAAACACAAGCTCAAGTTTGTTTCATGATGAATCATGATAATAACATTTGTATAATCTGTTTGAAGAAGATGTAGCCGTTATCAGCAGCCACGTAACCTTCATAATTATACATTTAGATGTGTTATAAAGCATACTCTTTGATATTAGCTATAGAAGGTGTTATTTAAAGACACCAATTTCTTTTCCTACTTTATTAATATGTCTTATTAAGAATGCTGACTGTAGAACATGTTTTTGTTCACCTACAGGCTGGGATTAATTGAGGATGTTCCCAGGTGGTGTGATTTTCATCTCAACATGAATCTGATAGAAATGTTTGTCTAAATATATGACGTGAACCTACATCAACGTGGATCTGATAGAAATAATATCGAAATGAATGTATGGTGACGTATATATGTTTGGATTCTTATTCTTAATCTTATTGAGTAAACTCGGTTTAGTTTGAACAATTGTCCTCCGGTCAGAATGGGAGTCACCCGTGGGCGGCACCCTCTTTGCCTGCAGACCCCCTCCTCTCAGCCAGCAGATAAGAGTTCACACTGAGCTCAGATCTTTGGGTTCTTTTTAGTTTTGGTTTCTTGAAGTTTAGAGCTTCAGCGCTTGCTCGCTTCTCTTCGGACTTCGGTCCGAATCACTTCTTTTAAGTTTGTGCCGTAGAGACGAGTCTCTGCCGAACTTTCTTTTTCACGCACAATTTTTGGAACATCAATTCTTTCTGGCTCAAGCAAGGTTTTTGAACTTTCTTCTCCAAAGTCTTTGCTCTTCAATTTTGAAAGCCAATTCCTTAATTTGGATTCATCAAGATGGCCATCCGGTTAATCTGAATTGGAAATCGACGTATCAAAAGACTCTTTCATATTTTTCCTGTTGGATCCTCTTGGAGCTTCTGAGACGACAGCTGAACCGACGTACAATCTCCATCCCAGCTGCACACTCCGACCAAGGTGTCAAGGCATCTAATCTGGCCCGTGGACCTCTCTGGGCCTGAAAAGAACCGCTTGCCAGAGACTGAAGCGTGGGACCAGCCGGCAGAGTTCAATTGAACACATCTCACAGTAAGACTGCTGGTGGCAAGGGGTGTTGGAAGATTGAGTCTTGAGTCGTGTCTATTCAGAGCCCTCCTTTAAATCCAAATAGAATCCCAAAATACCTTTATCAACTTTTTCTTTTTGACCATTTTCTGATTAAGTCATTCAAACAATACCGCGTCTTATCTCATTACTAAATATATAATGTCACCATACATTATAATTGCATTATCCTGATCATAATAATCATATTCTTTATCTGTTTCATCTATACATTATTGTTTACCCCTTTTTATATTAAATTTTACACATAAAATTCAGGACTTTGTGTGTTTTCTGGTTTAACATTTCCAGAACTTACTTCTTTCAAGATATGAAACTGACTGATTAATTAATTAACTTATACCATTAAAGTTAATTTCTTCCTTTAACAGGAAGTGGTGCCCCTTCTTAAATCCGGGTTAAATAAAGATATAACATCATAATCATTTAATTACGCTACAAAGAAGACAAAATCAGAAGCTTGAACAAATACTGAATGACATTTGATAATTTAGTAAGCATGATTAATCTGACATAGCAAACTTACTGCCAAATTTGCATGTTGTTGATCGGACAGGATGTCATGAAATGATTGGACAGTCGGAGAGCAGAGTGTTCAGCTCACCTTTGAGGCATCAGACATGTTGGAGAAGGCGGAGGATGAGGACGCACACGGCGGTGGGACACTGAGCTGAGAGAGACAGGACAGAAACAGAGATCAGTCTGAGAAATGGATCAGTGCTAGAATAAGCTTCACTACATTTGTAACATTTGACGTTTCTACATATAATCTGAGTTTACAGCTGGGTATGTGTGATGAAGAAGCTCCTCCATGTTTCTCTGTTCCTCACTAACATGTACTTTTCATTAAACTGGGTTTGTCCCATTCAGGGCAGAAATGGCGTTTTGTTATTAGCTCGATGTGACGTCTCTTTCTAACAAACAGGAGGTGAGCTGAATGTACTGTGGGTGGTGCTGCAGTGGGCCAGAGGGGATTTAGAGTTTTCATTTTCACTTTTGATTTCTCCCTCAGAAAACAGAATACTAATGACAAATTCTCAAAAATAGAAACAAGAAGGTCAGGACATCTTTTCAGACAAACCTAGAGGGAATCTTCTGGAGACTATTGTTGGGGTTGTATCAAGTCAACTTTGGTTATATTCTTTAATAATTATACTTAATTATTAATAATATAAATAAAATATCATTAAACTATGTTTAATCTCGTTTTGGGGCACCAACCTGTAATCAGGTAAATATAACCAAAATATCACTCAAATCAGTCTCAAATTAGTTATTTAATTACTAATATTATTAATAATGAATAATTATATTTAATAAATTGAAGGCGTGAAATCCGTACACAAAGCCTTCACACCCAGTTTATATCACAATGCAAATACACCAGTAATCACAAACAACTGCTCTCTTAAATTATAACAGAATTTATTTAAACAAAGCAACATCAACCCAAAATCAATGAACTCAATTAAACAAATAACTATTATAAACTAATCTAAGCAACAAACATTATCAAGCAAAGGCTTGTGGATGAGGTGTAAATGTGTGTGTGTGCAGATGAGTATGTATGTAGATGTGTGAGAGAGAGAGAGAGAGAACAAAATGGTGGAGAGAGACAATGCACCATGTGGCTTCGTCACATGGTGACAAAAATGGTGGACAACAAAGGAAGCCATGTGGCTACCTTTTGAAATAGTTTGAGCTCTCTGAGCTGAGTTCAGTAACTGTTACTTAAACACCAGAAAGCCAGTGGCCGGACTTTGATTCAACGGCGGGTACACTGGTCTTTCTGATTGTGAAAGCCGTTGACTGAAGGTAAACTAGCATAGCATTAAACACATAGACGAACACAGCAGTTCATTACAATAAAACAAATGCAGTAGCTTACAACAGATAATATACAGAATGTGACGTGTCGTCAACAATGATGCATAATTATCAGTGGTTATAAAAGAAACATAACTATTTCTGAAACTATTTCTGCCCAGACCAAAGCTCTTACTTGGGGTAACTCCTGGTGATCGTTGCAAAGTTGGTTAGATCGTCACTCTGTTGAATGTTAAATCAACAGATTCAGGCAGGTTTCCTTCGTGGCAGATGTAGGAGGAGGGTAGCGGGATTCAGATCTTCGACCAGAGCGCTGCTCTATAGGGTCTTCTGGTTGCAGGAGCCGAGTTCTTTATGTGTCCTTGTGGATTCAGGGATCAGTGGGCTTCCTTCAGCGCTCCTGTCCAGTTGCGTTCAATGACGTCTTACGAAAAATCAAAGGAAAGAAACTCTTCTTTTTGCTCGAACCTGATAGCATCTGATTGCGCCCAAAACTCCTAAAAATATGCAGTGGAAGTAGTCAGCTGAATCCTCTGATGCTTGAATTCAGCATGTGAAGAGCTACCTATACTGAGCAACCTCAGCTCTGGAGTTTAACCTATGTAAGTCATGGGCTAAGACCCCTTTGTTCAGTTCCCTCCAAAATACTCTAGTCAGGCTTGAGAACTGTGATACAGGCCTGAGTCGCTTGTCCCATGCACATGGCTGAGGCCCAACACTATTTAATCAGGGTAAAGGAAAGGGTTGACTTATAATTCTGCATTGACTCTACGTTGTAGTGGCCTATGCTGTCATGAACACTACATACTTGTGTGTTGGTGTGTCTGCATAGTTCTGCAATACTTCACCTACAAACGCCAGCTACCGGTTCCACCACATTGTCTGCTTGCAGGACACTGTGTATCGTCTCATGATGAACTTTGAATGCTCACACATCTCACACCCACACACATATTATTATTATTATTATTAGTGTGGATTATGCAACAAATAGATACTTTTATTAACGTATGGTGATGAAAATGTCCAACCCTGTAGGAGAGTGTTGGAATAATTTTCCAGGACAACATGTGATTTTCCAGGGCATTTGACTTTTTCTCTGATTTTCCAGTACTGGAAAATTAGTCAACTGTTTTCCAGGTTTTCCAGGACGGGTGGGAACCCTTCCCTTAGTTTTGTGTTTCATGCAGACACTTTCTTTGAGACAAACGGGGGGAAAGGTGTGTAATCACCTCCCTCTTCTCTGCTCAGAGTATAAATATCACCATCTTGGTGCATCTTGTGCTGGTTGGGTTAAAGAGGTTTTTGTATTGTCTTTTTTTCTGTTTGGATTCCTTTTGCTTTGTTCTTTTTATGCATTTGCTGTACATCAAAGCACTTTGTAAACGTGTGTTTTTTAGAGGTGCTATAGATATTAAGTTATTATTATTATTAGAAGAACATAGAGAAGGTTTTTCTTCTCTCTCCCCTCTTAGCTTGCAAGAGGAATGAACTTCCAAACCTTCCCAGGAAACAATGAGGCTTTACCCGTATTAGTCAATTATCTCTGAGATGGAACTTCTTTTCAATTGCCACACCTTTACCAGAAACAAGAAAGGTTTCCTCATTCTTGGGAAATTATTTTAAGTGTAGGAATGTACACAGGGAGGGTTGTATTTGTTTGGGGTTGTTGGGTTTAAATATTAAGAACTCTACAGAATCACCCCGCCTCCGATTGTCAAACATTTGACCACTATTGTTTAATTGTAATAACAATAATTGCTGTGTGTCCAGAAAGCAGCATGTCTTGTTTTTAATGGTATGATTTGATTTGATTTGTTCATGTTAAGTAGCAGAATATGAATCAGGCATTTTATTAATCACCCTTCATGTTGTCGAAGCACAGAGTGTTTTAGTATTTAATCTGGAGAAAGTGTGTCGGAATTGTTTACATGTTTGTATCTGTGTGGCTCGTGTAGCCATCTCACCTTTAATGATTATATTTCTGTACGTTTGGTCTTTTTTCAAAGCAGGTTACCAACTATGCGTGTGTAAAAAAGCTTACTTCGTTTATATATTTTCTAAATGCCCTGATTGTGTAGTTTAACTTCTGCAACAACTGAATGGTTTTTCTTCATCTGAGGTAGAAACTGTTGCTCTCGCTCAGATTTGAATCTTAAAAGTTTGTAATCAGAACATACCTGAACATGTTCCCATGATTAGGTTTGTATACAGTCAGTATAAGTAAAGAGATACATGAAGGTGAGGTACCTGTGTGTCTCTAAGTTCTGATTGAGTTTCCAGAAGAACGACTCTGCTCATCAGGTTCTCCCAGCTCTCTCTGGAGATGATCACCACGTCACCTTCACTCTGTGAGAAACATTTCATAAAGAAGATTTCCTCTGCTGTCTGACTGATGAGGGAAATAACTGATGATAAAGAGTGAGTGCTGAACCTTATCTGTGTGTCTCCGTCTCTCCAGGTCTTCCAGGCGTCTCTCCAGGACTCTGATCCGGTCCAGTCCAGGCTGCAGACTCTGTAGCTGGGCCTCCAGAGCTGAGAGTCGTCCCTCTAGCTCTGAGTGAGACTGAGACACAGACCAGACTGATTTTACATCCAGAAGAGTAGTATGTAAATAAAAACAGAATGTGATGATATGCAAAACAGTAATGCCCCATATTTCACTGAAAATAGCTCAAAGACAACATTACAAATGTTGAAATGAAATATTTCACTGTTTTGGGAAAACGATATGCTCATTTTTAATGTGATGCCAGATCCATCCATCCATCCATTATCTATATCGCTTTTCCCTTTAATGGTCGCAGGGGGGCTGGAGCCAATCCCAGTTGTCATTGGGGCGAGAGCAGGGAAATACCGAGGCTTTTTAGGTAGGGTAGAGTCACTTCTATCTGAACCATTTTGCTTGCCCGCTTTCATTGCTGCAACACCTGTTGGTTTGTTGTTTGCCTGGCAATCTGAGGGGCGCCCAAAACCGTTGTGTCGGGGTTCCTTAAAACCGCCTTCCTTCTCTGGTCCAAACAAATCCAGAGCATTCAGGACCAGAATCTAAAGTTAGGAGGAGGACATACTGGCTGCTGCATTGTTGTCAGAGAAGCCAGCACTTCAACACAGCATGTTTACTTAATGTCTGATCATATAGTAAGATCACTTTATCATTTCATTCAGTTGATATTTAATATATTGCTCCTTAAAATATGGTTGGCTACCAGTCAAAGATGATCATCTCCTCCATGTTAATTTTTTAACCAAGAGGAACTAAACATCTTGTTTTATTGAAATCTTTTTGGATCCAAATATTTTAAGGTAATTCAATTTAATAACTAGAGATGGGCAGATGATACAAAAGCTCTAAAATCTTTCTTTCCACCCATTCTGTCTGGTTTTGTGTAAAATAGAGAAAATAAAAAATGTTTCATGACGTCTGGAGCTTTTAAAAATCACTGCTTTCCAAAAAGCTTCATTCATTTTCACAATTTAGAAAGTTTAACAGCTAAGAAATCAGAGACACACCGATCCACTTTTTTGGGGGGATTTCACTTATATTTGACTTTGTTGTGTTATTTCTGTGCTGTCGTTTTGGAACAATCTGGCTCTAGAATTCTCTTTACAATAATGAAAGTGAAACGTTTTCTTAATTTATTAAAGTGCAGTGTGGTGCTGAGAACTGCTATACCTTTAACAGCCACCAGATGTCGCTGTGTTTGCAGAGATTGAGGTAATGAATAAGGCCTTCATCAGGCCCGTCACTGTATTTGCCTGATAGAGAGACTCACCTGAAGGCGGTCGCCCTCCTGCTCATCTTCCTCCTCCTCTTCCTCCTCATCTGCCTCCTCCTCTGTGATCATGTTTCCAGGAGAACTGGAGGAGAACCTTTCTGCATGAAAGATGGATTGATATTCTGTGTGATTCACTACGAGTGGCTGATCAGGCGCCTGAAAAACAAACACAAAGGCATTAAATTGAAGAAAATGAACTTAGCTTACTGATTAAGAAGTCTAATACACGACCTGTCTGACTCTTCTCACCTGATTAAAGCACTGATTTAAGAAAGCAACCTTCTACACTCCACTTACGATTAGTGTGGGCTGAACTTCTCCTCTGCCATCCGGCCTGCCCTCCTTGTTCTGGGCCGGACATCTGACTCTGGGCTACAAAAAAACAAGAAAACACACATGTTGAAAGGTTGGATCATGAAGGGGTAATGTCAAAGTGCCAGGTGGACAGAGAGGGGAGAAGGGAGGATAAAAACATAATGGATGGAGGGACGGATAAAGACACAATGAATACAGGATGAGGAGGCAGGTAGTGATAACGGAGAGATGAGCTGGTGATGAGGATGGAGCGAAACTGTTTTGTTTTTTTAACAGAAATGAAGTTAAGAAAAAGTAATTTACTTGTGACAGCAGCTAAATAAACACGTGCGATACCAGTCATCCTTGTACAGTTGTCTTTCAGAATATTGGTGATGTTTTGTCTGTATGTGTTTTTACCCTATGTATTTTATTTTGCTTGTCTTTTAAATGTTTTCTAATGGACTCCTGAGGCTGGCAATAGAGATGGTGATGATGATGATGATGATGAAACAGTGTGAACAGTGTTCAACTCGCAGTTGATCCCCTCAACAACAACACTTTAAGGCTCCCTTAAAGCTCCACCTAGCGTTTTATCGTACCAGAAAAGCGCTGGTTGTGCACTCGGGGGGCATTAGCACGAAGCATTTGTGCGCTGAGAAGAAAAGCGCTGCACATCTGTCCATGGCAACAGTCAGCTGACAACGGCAGCTGATTGACTGACACTGCTCTGTTACTTTTTACTGTATGTTTTTTATTTCAGATTGTTTATTTCTCGATCAAACACAAAGAGGATGTGGGTACAAGACATGATCCGTAGGCGGTAAAACTACGGGGGGTATTATATATTTGGTAAAAGAGTGCCGGTGACGTCAACAGCGCCTTTCTGAAAAGTTGAGGGATTCTCAACTTGAGCGCTCGGTGTGACCGCACGAAAAAGGAGAAGGGCGCTGTGCCTTTTCTCCAGGCGGCTGCTTTCTGCTGCGCACGCTGTCTGCTCATTGAAAACAACGCTAGGTGGACACGGGGCCTGACAAAAGTTAGTTACATAATAAACAAAGTAAATATTTACTGCCATATATGTTATTGCACATTTAAAAATGATGTGTAGAATACAAATATGACCCTTTTCTACATGACAGATACATTCCAGAAAAAATATCACTAAAATAATGGGTGCAATATTTAAATTTATACGTGGATTTCCTCTTTTAATTTTCTTAAATCCATTAATTTTGAACATTAAGTTCTATTATTATGTTTAAAGTACAATAGCAAAAATACAAACATGCAAAGAAAGCAGATGTGATTCTTTGATCTCGGACTGTTCTTTCATACAGAAACAGGAAGTCCTCTGATGGTAGAGATCAAATAACAACTTTAATGAAGAAGAAGTGACATTATTCAAACCTTCTTCAGCTGGTTGTGTTTCTGCTGCACAAAGTTAATGACGTCACACACCACAGAGATTTTCCTCTGAGAGAAACCCCACTGCAGGAACTGCTGCTTGGTCAGGACGGGCTTATAGTGGAAGATATCTCTCAGCACCCACACACACACACACACACAAACCGCCTTGGGGCGGTTTGCAGCAGAGGCAGAAGAAGTCGGGATGAGGGTCAGCAACTCCAAGTCTGAGGCAATGGTTGTATGTCTGAAAAACATTGGATTGCTCCCACCGCGTGGGGAGTGAGCACCTGCCTCAGCTCAAGGAGTTGAAGTATCCTGGGGTCTTGTTCTCGAGGAAAGGAAAAAAGGATTGTGATACTGACAGTCAGATAGGGACAGCGTCAGCAGTATTGTGCCAGACGTCGTTATGAAGAGGAGCTGAGTCGAAAGGCAAAGCTTTCAATTTACCGGTTGATCTACATTTCAATCCTTACTATAGTCATGAGCTATGGGTAGTGATGAAAGAATAAATAGTGAATAAAAGTGGCTGAAATAAGTTTCCTCCAGAGGAGGCTGGGCTCAGCCTTAGAGGTAGGGTGAGGAGCTCAGATATCCGGAAGGAGCACAGAGAAGAGCTGCAGCTCCTTCGCATTGGAAGGGGCCAGTAAAGGTTGTTTTTCTTTTCATTGAACAATTCACAGAACCAGGATATTCATAATCTGGGACAGCCTCATTCGCCGTGGGGAGAAGAGGGCAAGGGAGACATCGGGACCAACTTGGTCTGGATGCCGGGTCAGTGGGTTGGCTGGGGGTGGCATGGTCTGGAGGAACTTTCTCCCCTTCTTTCACCAGTGTCTTCAAGGAAGAGCTGTTCCAGATGTCCTGCTCATTCACTGCGGCGGGAATGACCTTGGCCGAGTGA